GGGTAGTCTAGATTATTCTTCTCTATCTGACTGTGAGACAAATCCAGGGAATGCTAAATTTTTCTATCCATATGGGCAGCTATAAATCAACAGCTCTGGGTGTGTAGTAATTCTATGTCCTTGAATATCTAGGAATGCATTAGTTGGCATGCTTTTTCCTGGATCCTGAAGACTGACCAAATGCGTGTCAATAGGTTAATTACAAGAAGACAGATATGGGCAATTACATAGGAGAGAGGAAAAACGACCTGACAATGGGAGACAATGCTGAATTTCTCTAATGGCAGTAGACATTACTGCTATCTCTGTTTTTGATACTAATGGATTGTTTTACTTCGGGCATTTGCTGTCACACTGTCTGCGCCTTCTAGGATTGGAAGTCTGTTTTACACAAGACCATTGTGTCCCACTGTCTTGAAACTCAGCAGATACTCAAGAAGTGTTGAGTTTGTTTTCAGCCGATACATGAAATGAAAAAAATCATGAATGTTGCCATCCTCTACCTTTCAGAGACCTGCCTGTGTTTTGGAATATTTGTACACTGTGAAGGTGTGTTGCTGTGACTGATGTAATAAAAAGCTGAATGGCCAATATCCAGGCAAGAGACACAGTTAGAACTTCTTTGCAAAAGGAAGAAGAGTATAATTGAGGCTCATAGGGTGCCAGCCAGACTCAAATGAGGCAGACTCACAAATGGGATCTTTAATATCCTCATGGTAGAATGTATTTAATAAACTATGGGTTAATATAAGTTATAAGAGCTAATTAGAAACAAGCCTAAGCTAAAGGCCTAGATATCATAATTGATAATGTATTTCCATGTTTCATTTGGGAGTGATCAACACAATGAAATTCCATTTACATATGAATCCAGATTTAGGGACATATTTACACATAAAAACTTTGAAAGCTTAAAATATGTTCAAACTTTCCAACTTAAAGTCAGACACAGCTTTCTAAGTCCACAGTCTATCAGGCAGGTCCTGTTGAGAGCTGCACCCCCTGCAGCTGCCAGTGGGCTTGATCCAGAAGCTGCCATGTGCAGAGCTGCACAGCAGATTGAAAGCATGGCTCACATGGTCAGAAAATGTATCAGGCACTTGTAAAACACTCCAGACACGGAAAAACTTTAAACAGATACAGTAAATATGCGTATATACCATAATAAGCAAGGTTTCCTTACTCTTTGGGGGGAGTGGATAGGGAATGGGGCTGTGGGGAGGATTGGAGGGGCATGAGGACAGGGCAAGGAGAACTGTGACTGGAACATAAAATAAAATTAAAATAAATAAATAAGAATATGAATAAAAAGAAAGGATAAATTAATATAAAAATAATAAGCTACAAAGAGATGAAAACACACTAGGTATTTGGATCTTTTATGATGCTTGGTTGACTTTGAAATTTTTAATGCCAATGTAAAAATAGATGCTGGGAGACATAGATTATGGAAATTGATAAAGAAAGCCAACCTACATAATTTTTAAATGTCTGAAAAAAGTAAGTCAGAAAAATATGTTGCACTGAGAAAGAGGTTATGACTTTGTTTCCACTGGAAACAAAAGTTATGGTTTTCACTATGAGATACCATCTTACTGCTATCAGAATGGCTAAAATCAATGACACCAATGACAGTCTATGCTGGAGAAGGTGTGGAGAAAAAGGAACAATCATCAAATGCCAGTGGGAGTGAAAACTTGTAACACCACTTTGGAAATCAGTATGGCGGTTTCTCAGAAAAATGGGTATCAGTCTAACTCAAGATGCAGCAATTCCTTCTTGGGCACATAGCCAAAGAATGCACATTCATATAATAAGGACATATGTTCAACTGTGTTCATAGCAGCATTTTTTGTAATATCACAAAAAGATAAACTTGGTATAATCACTCATATACGATTTTTAGACATAGAGCAAAGGATTACCAGTCTAACATCCACACTGCCAGAGGAGCTAGGAAATAAGGAGGTCCCCAAGAGAAAATTGCATAGTCCCTCAAAGAAGGGGAGGAGAACAAGAACCCCTGAGCAAAGTGGGAGCATGGCGGGGAGGAAGGAGGTGGGAAGGGAACAAAGGGGGGAAACAAGAAGATTGAGACAGGGGAGGAATAGAGGAGGGCAATAAAGGAGAAGCCTTAATAGAGGGAGACAGTACATTTATGGAGAGAGGTCTGGCACAGGTGAAATGTTAGGGCATCCACAGGGATGACCCCATTAAGAAGCCAGGCAATGGTGGAGTAGATGCCATTGATGCCCTTCCCCTATAATGAGATTGATGTCTCCCTTGGTTACCATTCCTAGAGCCTTGATCCAGTAGCTGTTTGAAGCAGAAACAGGCACCCACAGCGAAAGCACTGAACCATAATCCTGGAATCCAGTTGTGGAGAGGGAGGAGGGATGAGCAATGAAGCCAAGATGGTGCTTCAGAAACCAGAAGAAATAGTTGACCTGAACTACTGAGGGCATGGACACCAATGTCATAAAGCTGGGGAAACACCATTGACTGAACCAAACCTTCTGAAAGTGGGTTCCAGCTAGGAGGCTATTGAGTGCCCTCAATGATGATCCATAGGCCGTAATGCTAAGATTTCTTTATTCAGATAAACAATAGCCCAAAGCAAGCCAGAGCATGCCCAGAGGCTGCAAGCTAGAGTGGAGAGAGGGAGAGAGAGGGGGGGGAGAGAGGGAGAGAGAGAGAGAGCAGCTCCATGTGTTCGTGGCCTCTTACGAATTCTCTCTGAGTCATCTTGGCCCTCCCCTGAGCACGACCTCACGGGCGTGCCTAGGCACATCTGTAGGAGATACTAGGAGGCGGGGCTACAATGATTCCCTACAGAAGGACAAGACAGTCTATGGGTCCTCTAACAATGAGCCATTCTTTATACCTAGAGCATAAATGGACCTTGGAGCCCATTCCCTATGGAGGGATACTAATGCAGCCCAGATACAGCAAAGAGGGCCTAGGACCTAATAGATATGACAGACTTTGAAGGTCCCCTGTGGAGGGCCTCAGTATCCCCGTGGAGGAGTTGGGAGATGGATTGGGGGGGCTCATGGGGACCATGGGAGCATGGGAGGGTGAGGGAATAGGTGATGGATATGTAAATATGAGTAGTAATTAAAGAATTTAAATTAAAATTTTTTAAAGTTATGATTTTCTTGATAATTAATGAAGATCAGAATGGATTGGGGTGACCACCTGAAAATATTGGTTACAAGCATGAATAAAACAAATAAAAAACTACAAGATGGGTGACATGCATGCTCATCCCTCTACCTAGAAACAGCTCTGAGAATGGATGAGGCTTGACATATCTTTTTGGGTACAGAGTCTTCATAACATATTTTTTATTTTCCATCCTATCATGCAGCATGGATAGAGGTTTGGTTATACAGCCCAATGGACTTATAAATTCAGCAGGTGCCTTTTACCTGCTCAAACATAGAACAAAATTCACCTTTAGCAGACTTGTACAAACTGCACATTCTATACTTGTGTCAAAGCAGATATATATGCTACCTTTAAAAGTTTCTGTGTTTTCATAAAGAAAGTACCAGACACCAATAAAGAGTATCTCAGATGGTCCAGCCTCTCAGAGAGATATTTTTACAGTTGCCTCAAAATTTTGCATGCAGAACAGCTTCAGAGTTGCTATCTGAGATGGCCCAGCCTCACAGACTCTCCAGGCAAAATTTAGATGAGCTCTACACAGACCCATCACAAGAGAATAAACAAAAATGATACAGCCAGCTCTTCCATGACTTGACCATCATCCCAGGTTTCTCAGCATCCTGTAGGGGATGCCTGTGCTCAGAGACAACAGGAAGCCATCTAGTGAACACAACACCCACATTCTTAAGAAGTGAGGTGGGAATATTTTGGTCATTCATTGAGTTATGGGTGTCTGTCATCATTTAGTAGGGTTGGTTACAAGTTGTTATTGTTCATTGACTGGAAAAAAGCTGAACAAAGAAGATTAAATTGA